CAACCTCTTCTAAATCCTGCACATCTGGCAGTTCTCTGTTGACATATTGCTCCAATCGTTATTGGATAATTTTCATCAGAATCTTTCTTGCATATGATATTAATGACATTGTTCCATAATTTTCACACTCTGTTGGGTCACCTTTCTTTGGAATGGGTACAAATATTGATCTTTTCCAGTCAGTTGGCCAGCTGACTGTCCTCCGGATTTCTTGGCACAACTTAGTGAGCACATTCAGGGCAGCATCTATTTGTTAAAATATGTCAATTGGTATGACGTCAACTTCTGGAGCCTTCCTTGTTTTTTGCCAATTCCTTCAAAGCAACTTGAACTTCCTCCTTCATCACTACAGGCTCTTGCTCATATGTTATTTCGTGAAATTCTTCTGTGTCAGCCAATTCCTTCTGATACAGTGACTCTGTGTACTCCTTCCATCTTCTCTTGATACTTCCTGGATCATTTAACATTCTACCCAAAGTATCCTTAAGTATTGCCACCCATGGCTTGAATTTGTTTTTCAACTCCTTCAGCTTAAGAAACGCTGAAGGAGTTCAGCCCTTTTGATTTTCTGACTCCAGCTCTTTGCGCATTTCATTATAGTATCTTGCCTTTCTACTGAGGTGTCTATGAATAGATTCAAACTGTGAACCTCCTAGTTAGTAGCTGAGTCCTTAACCATTTGCTCCACCCAGAGACTCTTCTACAGATGAAAGTTGAAAAATTAATAATGGAGACCAAAGAATTGACTCATTTGAACTGTGGTGTTGGGAAAGTGTATTGAATATCCTGTGGACTGCTGAAAGAATAAATCCCTCAATTCTTGGGAGAAGTGTAACCAGAGTGCTTTATAAAGGCAAGGATGGTGAACCTTTGTTTCACATAATTTGGGCATTTTGTCAGGAAAGGAGAAGATATCATGTTGGTTATTATAGTTTTTTCTGTGGTCTATCAAACGAACCCATAGTTGATCCTTGCAAATTAAATTGTCTGTCTTTCTCTAGTGAAACAGCTGACGGATTTGCACTGAATATCTTTGAGTTAGCAGCACAATTTCTTACCACTATGCCACTAATGTATCTATCCTATGGACTGCCAAAAGAATAGATATTTCTTTAAGAATGTATAGCCAGAGTGCCCCTTGGAGACAAAGATACTAAAGTTTTGTCTCTTATACTTCAGGGATGTTCCTAGGAGAGGCTATTCCCTGGAGAGTCACATCAGTCTTGAGAAGGTGGAGGGACCAAGACAGAAAGACCCTCAACCAGGTGGAATAAAACAGCCACTGCAGCAATGAGCTTGAACATATTAGAGATTGTATGGATGGCATGGGATAGGACAGGTTTCAGATCTGTTTATAGTGTCACTATGAGTCAGTCATACTCAATTTGATGGCACCTAACAACAACAAGAAGACATTAGAGCTCTCTGATTAGAGTGCCAGCAAAAGGGAGGAAGGCCCTTAAAGAGATAGATTGACACAGTGACTGTAACAATGGGTAAAGTATGCCAGCTATGGTTCATAATAGGGCAAGGTTCAGATCTGTTGTTCATAGGGTGGCCATGAGTCACAGTTCACTTGATGGCACCTAAATACATCCATCACAGGTCCTGTGATGACTATAGAGCTAACCAGAGAGATGCCATCATGAGGCTAGCGTCATGCACCTATTGATTTGTATAATCTCTTCTAAAATAATCTCATCTTTTCCTCTTTTTATTTTTTGTTTTTGTTTTAATTATTTGCCTCATCTTTTCCTCTTAAAAATAATGAATACACATAAGCTTTTCTTCATACCCGTCACCTAATCTACACATATCCGTCAGAACCTTCCCTTGCTATGGCAGATTTGAGAAGCTCCTATTGTGTTTCATATACACATGCACATAATAATAAAATCTCTGCTTTTTTCACTTTAACCTCTGACTCCGAGGTTGGTTTTTCTGATAGCAACACTTTATTTTCAAGTCTGACATGAATCTAAAATCCATGGTATGTTTTTTAGAAGTTGCCTTTCCAAATGGCAGTCCTTTTAACTGTGATGCTGGCTTGGGCCATCTACCTCAAGGACAGCATTCCTTTTCTCTTAGATCTAGCTTATGCCAGAGTTTAAACCTATTTGCAAAGTAGCTTTGACATTATAGGCAGAGATGGGTTTTGAGATACAGAATTATAAATTTTTACAATGAACTTCCAAAACCAGATATGTTTGAGGAAGAATAGGTTACCAGACTTCCACTCATCTATCAGTTTGTCTGACTCTGGTGGCACGTATGCAGCTGTGATTCTACGTGGTATGCCACTGGTGTTTCAAATATCAGCAGGGTTACCTTTTGTGAACATGTTTCACGTCTGAAATAATAGCTGAAGCAGTTGGGTGGTGAAAAAAACTCTATATGCACTTAAGTCCTATGAATCCATAAAAATGAACAGGAATCCTTGTTAAAATACAGATTCTGATACATCTGCAAATTCTTGGCAAGGGATCAAATGGAAATGAATTAATTCAGAAGCCTTGTTTCAAACCTGGAATTTTTAACATAGACACAAGTCTGCGTGCAAGTTTTGTTGAAGCAATGTCAAGGATAGTCAGGGGCATCTGTAGCATTCTTTGATGATGGCAACTAGTGTTGTGGTATCAGTGTTAACGACCCGTATATGGAGGCATTCAGTACTCATTTCTGGTGTCAACAATCTCTGCTTAGATTTTTATAGTTTATTTTGGGGGAGGGGGTGGAAATACCATGCTGGGAAAGTTCAGCAAAAGAGAAGACAATCTTCAATGAGGTGGACTAACAACCAGTAAATCTAACAACCAGTTCAAGCTTGGCAGAAATGTGAGGATGGCTCAAAATAGGGCAAAGTTTTGATCTGTTGCTCATAAGGTTGCAACGAGTCATACTTAACTGTATGGGAACTAACAACAACAAAATGAATAAGAAGACCAAAGAAGAATCAATGTCTTTGAATTGTGGTAAAGGAGAAAGAGTACTGAATATCCCATGAACGGCCAAAAGAACAAATTTTTCTTGGAGGAAGGCCAATGAGGACGCTTCTCCGAACAAAAGAAAGCAAGAATCTGAACAAGATGATTGACACAGAGTCAGCAGTAGAGGGCTTGCGGATATTGTGAAAACAGTCTAGGAAAAGGTAATGATCAGATCTGCTTTTTATATGGTAGCTGTGACTCTTAGTTAACTTGAGAACACCTAACAGCAGCAAGCTCTATTTAAGATGCTCAATTAAACTAAGTAGGCTGTGCCATTTGGAAATTTATCTTGAAAAATATAGGATGATGCATTTTTTAAAAATTTTATTTTATTCTGATTTACTTACAAAATTCGTATACATTGTTTTTCACACCAGATCTTTCTCATTTCCTTTACCCACCCCTCCACTCATCAAATGGCTCATAGTTAATCTCTAGTTGTTTTTCAGGGGGGAGGGGTTTCTATGCATACTTTGGAGGAGATTGTCTATTTCTCTCCCATGAAGCTGCTTGTGGATTCAAACCTTCTTAAAAGGTGGTTGTGTTAGGTGCTACTCTTGAGCTGAAATTGACTCATAGTAACACAATGAACAACAGAACTGAACTGTGTTCTGTTTATCATCTGACATGCTTGAACTCAATGCTTCTGTCACCTTGTCAATCTATCTCATCGAGGGTCACCCTCTCTTTTGCTGACTTTCCACCTTTTCAAGCATAATGTCCCTTTCCAGGGCATAACTCATTCTAATATGTCCAAATTATGTGAGGTGAAACTTCACATGCGTGCTTCTAAGGAGCACACTGGCTACACTTTCTCCAAGACACATCTGTTTGTTCTTTTGTTTTTCCAAGGGACATTGAATATTATCTTCCGACACCACTACTAAAAGGCATCAAAAGGGACTATATTATAAACATTTTGTCCTGTCATCATAGAGAAAATGTTCTACTTCCTTAAATACATAATTCATACAAACACATTTTAAACATTGGACTAAATATTTTGTCTGGAGGCTTAAGGAATCAAGTCTGACTTAGCTTCCTTCCTCCCTAGCCATGCCCAAACTTCTTACACATTCTTTCCAGGGTGGAGGCAACTGGAGAAAAGAGTAAAAGAGGTGGAGCCTGAGGGGAGTAAATCATCAACTTAAAAGACAGGTTTCATTATTTTTTTTAAGTATCAATTTGCATGACATTTTCCATTATTTCTGGAACGCATGGTTTCCACCCCTTAAAAAATAAAAACAACAAACAACAAACAAGCAGTGAATAATGAAATAATTAAAGCTTAACATCAGCGATGCAAGATCAAAGATCATTTCACAAGCACTATACTGTCATTTCTTGGTCTAGGCTCTTAGTAACATTCTTGGTCATTAACTTTAGGAAGATTTCCAAGAATCAAGATACAAATGCCTGAAAATAGCTTTTAGATTTCCCTGGACTGCGAGTGAAATGACCACATCATCCGGTCATTGGCTTAAAAATCAATTACAAAACAGGTTTTTATGAGTTGTATTTTTGCATTAACCTTTGTGAAGACTCGGTTAAGCACATCTATGAGGAAAGGCAATTATCAAAACACAGAAAATACAAGGTATATCTTTTCTTGGTAGGATGGGTCAGATGCCTTCAGAGCAACTGTGGATCCCCAAAGTTGAAGATTCCTCTGTCACTTCTCCCCAGACCTCGCCAAGGCAGAAAAACCCTCTTGGAGTGCTCCAGGGTCAGGGTAGTGTGAGGATACTGCCTCCTACCTTCAAGTCCCCTCCCCCCCTTTTTCCCCATGGGGCGAGGTCCCTTTCCCCACCCCAGCAGGTGTCTGAGAGGAGTCAGAGGACCACTCTAGCAGCCTTAGAGGCAGGTAGAGATGCCCTAGAGCCCCGAAGCTTCCCTCCCCGGGCAGGCGCGCGTCCCGGCAGTTCCGCGTCTGCGCAGCGGGCGAGGAGCTGGAGCGGGGCCGACCGGGGAGGCGCAGGATGCGCGGGAGCCAATGGGCACGCTCGGGGGAGCCGGCTGGCGGCGGCGGCCCGCGGGGCGCGCACTCTCGGGATGGAGGGCGAGCTCCGGGCATCACAGCCACGCTGCTCGGGCCTCCCAGCTGGGGGAGCAGACGGGGAGAGCCCGGGAGACAGCGCCCCCGTGTCTTGCAGTAGCGGCTCGTCCACCCTGCTGCAGGCCGAAGTGCTGGATCTGGATGAGGACGAAGACGACCTGGAGGTGTTCAGTAAGGTGAGGCCGGCCGCGCGTCCCGGCAAAGTTCCCGAGTCAACTCCCGGAGTTGCCAGCGCCGCGCCGGCGGCGCCTCCCTCTGGCTCTCCTCGCCCACGCCCGGCTGGGGTTCGGATTCGGAGGTGCGTGGGGCATCGTGTTCGGGCTGTGCCTGGAAGCTCCGGCTGTGCCTGGAGGTCTGGCCGCTCCAGGGGCTCGTCCCTGCGGCGCCCTGAACCGCAGCCGCTCCCTGCTCCCTCCTCCGCACTTCGACCTTCTGCTCCACTGGCTGTGGCTTCGTGCCATCTGCAAAGTAGTCATTTCGCCCCCGCCCCCCTTCTCTTTCTTTTCTGAGGATCCACATCTTCAGGCTCTCTGCCAGATTTAGAGAGCAAGCGGCTCAGAGACGCCCTCACCCCGGCCTGCCTGGTTTTTGGTCCCCCCTCACCGTCTGGGGCGCGGCCAACCAGTTCAGAAGTTTCGGGGAAAACATAGTTTAGACATATTGCTTTGGATTTTGAGTGGCTAGTTGTGGATTTGAGACTAGAGTAAAACCCGAGGTGAGTCTGCTTCAAGTCCAGTAGGAATAAGTTGAGGGAATCAAGACAGTAGGAAACGGTTTGTGTGCCCAAAAGGATTTTGGATTTTACTGCCATCTGCTTTTCGTTTTCTCTTTCATCAGAAAATCCAAGACCAAAGGTCCCTCTTAGCTTGTTTTACTGTTGGGGGGTGGAGACGGTCTCATGTTGAAGGGTTTGTTTAAGACTTCTGGCGTATGCACACTGGTGATTATAATTTCCTAATGGATTTAAGAAAAGGAAAATACATTTCTTGGGGCAGTTGAATGCCATTCTCCTTCCTCAAGTTTCTGCTAGTAGTGCACTTGAGATCCACGTTAATTGCTTTGACTCCTGAGCAATAGCTAAATGTTACCTTGGGGTGTTAGACGATGCAAGCTACTTAATACTGCTTTATTCTGGGAGGATTAACCGATGTTAAGATAGTGAACATACATGACTCCAGGGGAAATATATAAAGCTGTTAAATACATTTTTTTTACAAATGTGTTTTATTATGGTTAAATAAAATAGTTGGAACACTTGTATCATAGTTTTATGCTTTGATAGAATTACTTGATCTCTCAAGTTATCTGGGAGGCTGGACTCTGAGGAGAAATGTGGCATTAGGATTGGAGAAAGGCTCATCAACAATTTGCGTTATGCAGATGACATAATCCTGCTTGCTGAAACTGAGTAGGACTTGACGCCTTTAATATGGATTGAAGTTCAAGAAAACAAAGATTCCCACCACTGGGCTGATTGGCAACATCATGATAGATGAAGAGATTGAGATTGTTAACAGCTTTAGTTTGCTTGGTTCCACAATCAGCAGTCTTGGCACCAGCAACCAGGAAATTAAAAGATTAATTGCATTGGGAAAGTCTGCTATCAGAGACCTTTCCAAAGTACAGAAGAGCAACGATGTCATTATGGAAATTAAGGTGCATCTGATCTAGGCCATAGTCTTTGCTCTTACTTGCTATACATCAAAAAGCTGGACAATGACTAGGGATAATAGGAGAATTGATGCCTTTGAGCTGTGGTGTTGGAGGAGAGTATTGGATATACCATGGACTACTAGGAGAACAAACACGTTCATCCTAGAGAGGGTGAGACCAGCCTGCTCTTTGGAGTGAAGGGTTCTGAAGCTTCATCTTACATACTTTGGACATGTTGCAAGGAGGGCCCAGTCCTTGGAGAGGGACGTCATGCTTGGGATGGCGGAGGGACAGTACAGGAGAGGAAGACCCGTGATGAGATGAACTGATTCAGAGGGGGTAAAGAGGGTAGGTGTGTCAGAGACAGTAAGATTGGCACAGGATAGAGCAGGATGTATGGCTATTTTACATAGGGTCGCTGAGTCGAAAGTGACTCAATGGCACATAACAACAAACAACAAGTATTAAAATTATAAAATAGTGTAATGGTTTGTTCTTTTGTAGAAAGTTATATTGCCTTTTTATACTCCATTTAATATCATGTACTCCATGTTCAGATCAAGGACAATTGGCCAATTATTTACTGGATTATTTACATAGCCTTCCAAGATATTATTTGTTGTCATTATGTGCCCTCAGAGCTGGAACTAACTCATAACTGATCCACCAGTAGGTTTTCAGAGGCTGTAAATCACAATGAAGGAGATTGCTAATCTTTCTCCCATAGAGGAACTGGTGAATTCTGACTGCCAGCCTTTGAGATGGCAAAGTAACTCCTTAACCATTAGGCCACCAGAGCGTCTCAAGATACTATTAGGCTGTCAAAATTAGTCTGTGGCTCTATGTTACAAAACCTACAACATAGGCAGAACATATGAGGTGACAACTGCATATTAGAATCTTCCAGAGTGTTTTTAAAGTCTCATAGGCTTTCACTTTCCCCAAATCTCTGCCTCCTTCTAAGTATCACTGTTTTTATGAGCTCTTTCAGAGGTGGATATAAGGTGAAGCCAGTGAAATTAAAGCTTTAAAGCTTGTTGATTTGCTCAGGTCAGTGGGGATGAAGGCTGCCTGTGGGAGTTTATAGTACCTGTGATGGGAAGAGGCTGAGCTAAGAAGCATTTCTAAATCAGCCTTTCTGGTCATTGCCTAATGCTGTCTCAGAAGAGAGGCTGGCTCCAATTTTTTGTTGAATTTTTCTTTTTCATTATAAGTGAGTCTTTACTTTTCCACCAAATTTTTATTTGTATTTTTGTATCTTTTAAAGGAAAGTTTTCAAATTACATAAGCTTTAGGCTCCTATAACTAAGCTCTACTGTGCTTATTAGTGCTGTATAAATAGATGGGTTAGATTTAGCAAAATGTTAAGAACCATATCTATAGAATCAGATCACATAGCTTAAGGTAAAGATATAATGATGAGTGAAATATGAAAAGAACATTTTGGGAATTGTAAAATTAGCTGCCTAGTTATATTTTGGCAAGTTTAATTTGTCTCCATTTTTTTCATGAGTTGAATATTTCTACCATTTACCATAGTTAAACAACACGAATTTCAGAAAATCCCCTCATCTGTTTTATTTTTTTCTATGGCTCTCTAATTATTCCTCTGTAGAACAAAATTCCTCGCTTCTGATAGGCAACATCAAGATAGATGGAGAAAAGATTGAGACTGTCTACAACTTCATCTTACTCGGATCCACAGTTAATACACTTGGTAGCAGCAATCAGGAGATCAGGAGATGTATTGCACTGGGAAAGTCTGTAGTCAGGGACCTCTACAAATTATTGAGGACTAATGATACCAGTTTGAGGACTAAGTTGCCCCTGATTCAAGCCATGTTCTTTTCAGTCACTTGCTATGCCTCTTGAGAACTGGACAGTGACTAAGGATGACAGAAGAAGAAATAGTGCGTTTGACCTCTGGTACTGGAGTTGTTGTTGTTGTTATGTGCCGTCGAGTCGTTTCCGACTCATAGCGACCCTATGCACAACAGCTCTAAACCCTACTCTATCCTGTGCCAACTGCACCGCCTCTGACACACCCATCCCGATTACCCCAGTCACCGAGTCAATCCATCTCATAGAGGGTCTTCCCCTCCTTTGCTGTCCCTGCACCCTCCCAAGCATGATGTCCCTCTCCAAGGACCCGTCCCTCCTGGCAACATGTCCAAAGTATGTCAGAAGAAGCCCCAGAATCTTTGCCTCCAAGGAGTAGCTTGGTTTAATCCTCTCCAAGATGAAACTATTTGTTTTCCTGGCAGTCCATGGTACATTCAGTACCCTTCTCCAGCACCACAGCGTTCTGAATATTCCATGAACTGCTAAACAGACAAATAGCCATGTCTTGGAGAACATAACAGCTAGGGTGCTCCTTGGAGGCAGAGATGATGCAGCTTTGTCTCACATTTTTTTGGGTATTTTGCCAGGAGAGGTTGTTCCTTGGAGAGGGACATCAAGCTTGGGAAGGTGGAGGGAGGGCAAAAGAGAGGAAGACCCTCAACCAGGTAGGTGACTATGGCGATGGGCTTGAGTGTGAATTGGCATGGACTGCAACAGTGTTCACATCAGTTGTTCTAGGGTCACTATGAGTTATACTCAACTTGATGGCAACTAATAGCATCACCACCACCACCACACACACACACATACACACCCCACACACACACCATGGACTGCCAAAAGGACAAACAAATAAGTGTCTTGGAGAAAAAGTACAACCAGGGTGTTCTTTAGAGGGAAAGAAGGCAAAACTTTGGCTGTTTGGCTGGCATGTTATTCAGAAGGAGTAGTGTTTGGAAAAAGACATGATGCTTGGAAAGGTGGGGGGTCATCAAAAAGAGGCTGACACAGTGACTGTATACTTGGACTCAAGTGTATGAGAGAAGATGATGGCAGAGGTCAGGACAAGGTTTATAACCATTCTTCATAGAGTTGCTGTGAATCAGAGTGGACACAATGACACTTAACAACAATATTAATAAATAAGTTGTGAAACTTCATCTCACTTACTTTGGACGTATTACCAGGAAGGGTCAGTCTTTGGATATCTTGCTGGGAAAGATTCAATGAAAGAGGAAAAACACCCCACTCCTTAACGAGATGAATTGATACAGTGACTGCAGCAGTGAGTTTGAGAATGTTGGAAATTATGAGGACAGTACAGGATAGGACAGGGTTTTGATAGGAACATTGTGAGTTGTAGTTGACTTTATAGCATCTAACAACAACATCTCTCACCATCTACTTTTTTTTGCATATATCCTTGTCTTAATATTGCTTCTCCTGATGATAAACATCTCAGAGTAGGATCTCTGAAGTATCTCTTTTCTTACTACAATATGAGTACATGCAAATACACAGTCAACTAATATTGTGCAAGACAGACACTGCTGGGTGGATTTTGGAAAGAAATAAGTAAGAGATTTTGTTCTTGCCATTTTGGTAATGTACTCAGATGGGATGATGTTTACAGAAATTCTAGATAGTAATTGAAAAGTACAGATGGAAAGTAAAGCAAGCA